AAAACAAGGATAGCAGAACTGGGTGTTCTCACACTATTTGCAAAAGAAAACCTGCCAGGAAAACCACACTCCAGAAAGCTAAATAGAGCAACCAAGCAAATAGGAAGGAGGAGTTAAGTGACCCAGTCAGTCCTCCTTTCATCTCCATGGCAGTTGAAATTGACCATTCTCTAGTTAATGTCAACTGCTTAACCGCTTGGCTGCAAAATGTCCCAGGTTCAGTTCCTGGAATCTCCAGATATGGCTGAGGACATGGGTGTAGCCAGGATTTTTGTTAAGGGGGGTAGGCCTTTTGTTTAGGGGGACAGAACCTCAGTTTGCTATGTATTTTTATGTATCTTATGATTTTAATCATTGATTTTAAAATATTGATTTATTCAAATCATCGATTTCAAAAACCATCATTCAAATCATCGATTTCAAAAAATCATAATCCTCAAATTCAAAATATAGTGGGACCTCGGGTTACCTATGCTTCAGGTTACAGACGCTTCAGGTTACAGACTCCGCTAACCCAGAAATAGTACCTCGGGTTAAGAACTTTGCTTCAGGATGAAAACAGAAATTGGGCGGCAGCGGTGTGGTGGCAATGGTGTGGCATCTGAATATAGACTGCATTTTTAATCAAGACTTATATTGGCTTATATCTTGATTAGGTTCCTAAATTAAATGGGCTTAGATTTTCAAATGTTTCATGCCAGGCAGAGAAAACCTTGGCCATTCTCCTAAGACAAGGGCCCCCCCCTTGATTTATAGCAGAAAACAATTCTCAAAGTCGTAAAAGCTGGAATTACAGACTAAGAGCAGGACATTGACCCTACATGTTACAGAAGATAAAAAAGCAGAGATAAACATAATTAGGAATGGGCAAATAGTAAAATGATACCATGGGCCTCTCTTAAACCTTGAGCTGTATTTTCTAAGGCCAGAGGCAAATGGGAAAAAAAACATCTAGCTGACAGAAAAAGAGAGCATTTTTAGGAAATCTTCTAAAAGCTGTTTCTTTCTTAAACTGAGAGAGAGTTAAAAAGGGCAATAAATGTTGGGAAAGGCAACTGGCTTGGCTGGGGAAGAAGAAGCTTCTTCCTATTTTATTTTGAGGCTGGAAAGGAGGGTGAAAGGGGGAGGTGTAAACTAAAGAGGCTTCTTTAAAAACTGTTTTTTACTGAGTTCCTTCCTTTCTACTTTGAGAAGCTTTATTCTTTTAAAAGGTTACCTATGATAATGTATGAAATATATTAGCTTAAATATATTGGCTTAAATGTAATTATGCAAAGGATTTAAGAAATGCTAGATTCTTATTTCATATAGTTGTAAGAGTTATCCTGAAATTAAGTCAGCCACCAGCCTAGCCCCCCTGCCAGACAAGAAGACGCCATCCAAGCAGTCCTGATATATAGCTGTCAGACATTTGTTTAGAAACCTTCAAATGAAGGAGATCTTTCAATGTTGATGTGAAACTCAAGATCCTTGACATATGTTTAAGATAAAAATTTAAGATTAACCATTTGTTTTAGAAGGCAATAGGGCAAGGAGGGCAAGAGGTGAGCTGGTAATTAAGATTCCATGTAAGATATATTACTACTTATTTGTCATTTATAGATGTAACAATATATAGCTCTTTGTGTTCCATATAAGGACAGGAGGATGGGTGTATCTTTTAGGATTGGTTATAGCAATCAGCCAATAGGAAATCCAACCAGGCTGATTGGACAGAGGCAGCCCAAGGAGGAGCAAAGGGGGCTGGATTAAGGGAATATAAGTGCTGGCCATAATGGCAGGAGCGCAGGCCAGAGCTTGGTAACCATATACCACTGTGCCTCTCATTTATTTGTCTGACAAATAAATTATTATTTTAATTTCTCTATTGCTGCGTTGAATATTTCATTCCAGCTAAGCGTTAACCACAAGCAGGGTGCTACAATGGGAGGCCCCATTAGCTAAAGTGGTACCTCAGGTTAAGAACAGTTTCAGGTTAAGAACAGACCTCCAGAACGAATTAAGTTCTTAACCTGAGATACCTCTGTAATCATGATGAAAACCACTGATTTCAAAACAATCATGATTCAAAAACATTGATTCTAGAATCAGCATGATTTAGATCACTGATTTAAAAAATAACAGTGATTAAAATCATTTATTTCAAAATAACGATGATTTAAAATGATTGATTTTTTAAAAATATTGATTTAAAAATCCCCTTGGCTATGCTCATGACTAGGAGAGATACCCTAGGGAGCTGCTACCAAGGCATATGGGTCAGTTGTCTTACACAGTAAAAGGCATCCACCTAGGGGCCCTTGAGCCTTTGGCAAATAGCTGTATTGCCATCCTCCCCAACCCCACCCCCCAATCTGCGACACAGTCGAGGTTGCTTGTACAGGAAGATGCCTCCTCATGGCTGGGCAGGATGCCTGCACTGGTCTCTGCCTGGAAGCTGCTCCAGGGACCACTTTGTTCCCACTCTTGCAGCAGGTCTCAGCAGAGTCCTTCCAAGGGCAAAGCAGCTGGGGGATGACGATGCTCCAGGTGTTGTGGGAGGGTACCAATGCCTGATAGGTGAATTTTGCATGCCTGGCAAACTCCTAGGTACACCTCTGCAGCCACCTGTGTTCATAAAAAGCATCTATAGCTCAGTGGTTAGAACATCTGCCTCACATGTGGAAGGCCCAGGTGCATTGCACGAGTGGTCTGTCTCTGTACAGGGAAGCTTCCTGTAGTCCTATCTAATCCATCCCATTATTCAGAACAATGAGGACTAGAATCTTTCTTCGTTTTCATAGCTTCCTGGTAGAGCACATGCTTTACATACAAAAAGTCCTCAGCGTGACTGGGAAAGACTCCTGGGGAGCTGCTGCCAGCTAGTGTAGGCAGTATTGAGCTGGGTGGACGAATTTTCTGTATGCTGCTTCCTAATGCAACTGCAGAAGGTCCAAGATAAAAATGCATCACTAGTTTAAAATGTTGTGGGCAGGAAATAGTGTGAAAAATCAGCTGCTAGTCAGAGTAGAGACTACAGGGCTACCTGAAAGAATGGCCTGACCTGGTGCAAGACAGGTTTCCTATTCTTTATCACCAGTGGTGGACCAGTCCATCTGATCCATCTACATGTTGTCTGTAGAGACTGTGGAAGCATTTTGAAATCCTAAGTGCTGACATTCACATTGTTTTGCGCACATTACTTGCCTGGAGACCCGCATTGCAAAATGAAGAGAAGGACAAAATTCCGAAGGATGGTTTTGCTTCAGTATGCTTATGGTTTTGGAAAGTGTACTTTAAGTAGGTTCTCCTTCAAATGCAAACTGAATCAGATTTCTCCTTTAAATCTTAGTTCAGCAAGAGCCCTAAATCCGCTTTATTTGCAGCACTTGGGTTTTCCAGTATGTGATTGAATCCCACCTGCAAAACAGTGACACCCTGGATATGCCCTCCAACTGCCTCAGCTGGATTTCCATCTCTGTCACCGTCCTTTGGGTTATGACTGGAAAAGGTGCAAGCTTTTAGCTGGTGGAATTTTCCAGTGGGAAACGACTCTCTTTTTCTTCCCCTGGGCTGTGAAAGAGCCTCTACATAGTCCTTCGAGAGATGGCGCAGCACACTCCTGCAGTCAAGCATGCTTGAAAAGGACAGAACAAAAGGTGCCCTTGAGCATAGATGGTTCAGCGCAGTGCTCTTCTCCTTGATGCGTTCAGTGATGGTGGCAGGGAAGGATCGAGCTGGTTCTCTGGTTTGCCCTTACCAGATCTATCTGTTTTGGTTTGAAGCCTGGAAGTGACATCCCTCTGATCCACATCCACACCCTGCACCTAACCTACCTCACAGGGTTGTTGTGAGGATAAAATCAGGAGGAGGAGAACTATGTAGCCAACTTCAGCTCCTTGAGGTGGGATGTAAATATAATAAATAGCATTTTTGTACCACGCTAAGAGTCATGGAGAATCCTGAAAACTGTACTGGTGACCTCTACAGTTGCAAGCCCAATTTAACAAACCACAGTTCCCAGGACTCTCTGTATGTTAAAGTGATATAAGAATGCTTGACCTCTGTATATCACTGGACTACAACTCCCATCATTCCTGACCATGGACCATTCTGGCTGGAGCCAATAGTATTCATAGACCAGCAATTTCCAGAGGGCACTCTGTTGGCTTCCCCTGCTTTAGATTTTCTTGGTACAGGTTTTGGGGTACTGTCCTGGATGACACAATTGTGATTGTGCGGCAGAGTGGATGACTCATTTTTCTAAGAGGCTGCAGTTTTGGAATAGCTAGGGACTAGTCTCTCTCTCAGTTTCTCTGTCATTTCCCACCCCCCCTCTCTCTTACACTTTGGGTGATCCGCAGCCAATTGACAGAGGTGCTTTGCCCATCACATCAATGAACCTCATCTTGCACTTACCCCCCCCCATTAATACAGAATGCAATAGTCCCCCAATGTTGGACTACAACTCCCACAATCCCTAGCTAGCAGGACCAGTGGGTCAGGGATGATGGGATGTTGTAGTCCAACAACATCTAGAGACCCAAGGTTGAGAAAGGCATTCTTGGATCCAAATGAAAGCAGGCGAGTCTGATTTCCTGACATTGCTGTTTGTTCATTTTTATCTAAAAGCAGCTGTGAGTTGTGACAGAGAGAGCAGTCTCTCACTGGAACAGAGGTACTGGGAGGAGAATAACTTAACCTTTCTGCCTGTGTGGTTTCCACAGTCTGCCTATCCCCCACTTCTAAGTTGCTTTTTTGCCACCCTCTCGCCTCCAGCAGAAAACATACAGGTATATTCCTCCACTATTAGGATAATGGCAGCTTTGAGGTGTGTGAGTCAAAGAGTGAGTGGCTTCCCTTTGTGGGTTGTGGGTGGGGATTTCCCTCATTTTTATGAGGGCGACAAAACACTTTGGAGCTGGATTTTGCTAGTTTGCTTTGCTAATTCTCTCTCTCCCCCCCATTTTTTCCTCTTTCTCTCCACCATTTTGTGCTTCTGCACACCTGACAATTTGAAGAGCGGCGAGGGCTTTTGGAGATTATCTCTCTCAGAACCATCCGGAAGGCCAGAATGGTTCAGGTAGGAGGATGTGTTGATTTTTTATGTTATACTCATGTTTAAAATTATTTATAGGCTACGTGAGGCACATTTTCCAAAAGAGCCCTGTCGAGGTTGTTTGAGTGGGTGTGGTATTGTTAAAAATATTTAATTTAATTTACAGTGGTACCTCGCAAGACGAATGGCTCGCAAGACGGAAAACTCGCAAGACGAAAGGGTTTTTTGTTTTTTGAGCTGCTTCACAAGACGATTTTCCCTATGGGCTTGCTTCGCAAGATGGAAACGTCTTGCAAGTTTGTTTCCTTTTTCTTAACACCGTTAATACACTTGCGACTTGACTTCGAGGAGCAACTCATAGCACGCGGTGTGGTAGCCTTTTTTGAGGTTTTTGAAGACTTTGGTGATTTTTGAAGCTTTTCCAAAACTTTCCCGACACTGTGCTTTGCAAGACGAAAAAAATCGCAAGACGACAAAACTCGCGGAACGAATTAATTTCGTCTTGCGAGGCACCACTGTATTTATTTCATGCAATTTATAAGCTGCTTGATTGTAAACAAAAACAAAACCTCAAAGCAATTTACAAAAAGGATAAAACAATAAAATGATCAGTAAATAAATGGTGGTTTTTGTTTTTGTTTTTTGCATGACTTGCTGCAAAACTTTGTGGTGTCCGGTTATGGAAGGATATGCAAAAAGAAACCTGCATTTTTAAAATTTATACAATGTGATATACAGCGCTGGTGTGTGTGTGCTGCCATTATGCAGGAGTGTAGAAAGGGTTGGTGTGGTGTTGGATTAAGAATTCAGCTGCCTGAGAATCTTGGCTTTAATTTCATTTATTAAAGGTTTTAGTCCTCGTGAGTTTCTGCACTGCATTTATGAAAATGTAAATTCCCAAACTAGAGGGAAAATTCCCAAACTAGATTTAATAATGGTGATAATGATCATATGTTTGAAAGTGGGCAGGTAATATGATCTGAAATTTCAGAAGGAAGATTCAGAAGGCTGAATATGTTTCCATTGTCAGGACATGGGGCGTTACTATCTTATGAACATCAGAAATGCCCTGCTGGAAATGTCTGAACTCAAAGTCAGAACAGCTGTCCATCTTCAGATCCTGGACTCCAAATTTCTTTTCACACTGGAGAAAAAGAAAGCTGGCATCTTTAACTCAGGTTCTCATATGCTCCTTTCCTTCCAGATCACCTGCTTGCTGAATCCTACGTTGGGCAGGAGGACTCCCCAGATATGCACCAGGGAGCCCAGAACAAGCGCCGCCTTTCCCTCATTTCTGACGGCAAATTCGAACGCAGCTTCTCAGAGGAGCGTGGCGAGAAGCTGGCAGGCGAGGGGCCCAAACCACGGGTCTACACTATCTCCGGAGAGAGGCCTATGCTCTCCCAGCACCAGAGCGAGAGCATGGAGCTGGTGGTCATCAAAGGGGCTGAGGCTGAGGAGGAAGAGGAGGAAGACTGCTCCCAGGGCCAGCCTCTCCAGAATGCGGTCAGCTCCCACAACATTGGGAGGCACTGCAAAGGGAGCTGGGCAAGCAGCCGCCAGGTCTCCAAGGAGTGCCCCGGCTGCACCCACCTGGCTGCTCCTTCCCAGCACGCCTTCGACATAGAGCATCCTCAACCCCACCACCCCCATCACCACCATCACCACCACCAGGCCGGCGAGACTGGCTGGCGCCGGAAAAAGCTGGAGAGAATGTATAGCATTGACCGTGTGTCAGGTTAGTAACGGAATAAAAGAAACCAATATAGCTCGAATGAAAGGCCTGTGCTCTTGTCTTCAACAGTGGGTAGTCTGATTTCCCTGGAAAAAATGTGGGTGGGGTGACACCCAGCTCCTGTAGCCAGTGTGGTGTAGTGGTTAAGAGCGGTAGTCTTGCAATCTGGGGAACCGGGTTCGCGTCTCCGCTTCTCCACATGCAGCTGCTGGGTGACCTTGGGCCAGTCACACTTCTCTGAAGTCTCTCAGCCCCACTCACCTCACAGAGTGTTTGTTGTGGGGGGGGGGGAAGGGAAAGGAGAATGTTAGCCACTTTGAGACTCCTTCCGGTAGTGATAAAGCAGGATATCAAATCCAAACTCTTCTTATTCCTTTCAGCTAGCAATTGGAGGGTGAGACAGTTTCTAAAGTGGAGGTTCCACTTATCATTTACACTGCTGCTCCACTTACTTTTGGCTCTTGCTCCACCCACTGCAGGCATGTGGCCCCCAGAAAGTTTGCTAGGAAAGGAAATGTGGCCCTCGGTCTGAAAAAGGTTCCCCAGCCCTGCCATCTAGGATTTAGCTCCACGCCCAGTTAGATGTTGTGATCTGCATTATGGTTGGATGGCTGACAACTCTCTGGTTTTGCTTATTAAATGATAAAGTAATGTACAAGTCATGAAAATTCTGTGGCGGGTAACTTAGTAAAGGAAGGGTACTGGTGGAACAAATAGCAAAGTGCCCGTTACAGAGTTTTAATTTTGGATTCTGAAGCTCTGCAGTCAAAGGATAAGAACATAAGGAAAGACTGGCTGCTAGAATAGGTTAGTGGGGCATCTAACATCCTGTTCTCACCATAGCCAGATGCCCATTATGGAAAGCCCCAAACAGGAGCTGAGTCCAATAGCACTCTCCCACTTGCGAACCCAAGGAACTGGTATTCAGAGGAATACTGGCTCCCTTGGTGTAAGGAGAACAAAGCCATTGTGGCTAGTATCAGGTTCATATGGGGAGATCTTTCAGGTATCCTGGGCTCAAGCTACAGAGCCAGCATTGCTAATAACCATTGATAGATCTGTCTTTCTCCATGAAGCTGTCTAATCCGCTTTGAAAGCTTAATGAGGCTGAAGTCCATCACCATCTTTCCGTTCCCCTGCTCTCTGAAGTGTTTTCTTTTGTCTGTCCTACTTAATTTCATCAGATGATCTGCTCTTCCTTTCATTCCATGATAACTCTGGTGAGGGGAAAACATCTCTCTTTATGCTTTGTCCACACCATGCGTAGCGAACTTCAATCGTGTTCCCTCTTTTCCCAGGACTGAATGCTCATTGCTGTGACTGCTTACCTCTCTTGCAGATGATGTCCCCATCAGAACTTGGTTTCCCAAAGAGAACCTCTTCACTTTTCAAACAGCTACAACAACTATGCAAGCGTAAGTTAGAAAACTGGTTGGCTGGGCATGGAGGAGAGCATGTAAAATGTCTGCATGCTCATTCACTTAACCAGCCATTCTTCTGGGTTCACATAGCATTGTTATAACAGAGACATCAAGCTGCCTTATCTGAGCCAAGCCACTGATCCATCACATTCAGTATTGTCTACAATAACCCACAGCGGCTCCCTAGGCTTTCGGAAGCAGAGCCTCTCTCCTAGCCTTACCAGGGGATTGAACCTGGGAATCTTCTGCATGCAAAGTATATGCTCTGCTGCTGCAATTCATTTAAGAGAGAAAGCAAGGTTCTAGTCCTCATGGTTCTGAATGCAGGGCTGAATTAAACAGGAACACTGGAAGCCTTCCCTTCATGCTTGCTCAACACAGCTTCTTTTGCATGAAATATATTGCCCTTCTTTCTCTCAGTGGCTTCACCTCCACATACATGTTTATATGTGTACATTTTTGCACTCTTTGGAAATGGCCATAGCTACAGCTTTAGTAGAGTCCCATGAGCATGACTTTGTGCTAAATTCACACATTTAAACTGCCTCATCTTATTAAGTTATGAAGGCATGGTAGGGACCTGAGGCTTTGCCTCAGTGTTGGTGGAGCCACAGCTTTGGAAGGTCACACTTTGAAAATGTTTTGGTTTTTTTATTTATAATCATTTGGTGTCAGGTTAAAAACACACGCACGCACACGGAGCTGCCATCTATCTGCAGAGCATGACAATACATTACATTTTTATGTATATAGGAATATATGTATACACCCACCCACCAACCAACCCCACCTTGCTACTGCAGAAAAGTTCAGCTTGTATTTCTTCACTAATATATATTTTCTCTCACTCTTTCTCTCTGCCTCCCCTCTGCTTTTCGTGGGACCACCAGCATCTCGTAAGTAAAGCTGCTACCACCCCACAAATTTGTAGCCCCATTTTGACCCATGTTTGTTGGCATCTTTGGGTAAAACCCCCACATTTCCCCGGTATCTTGTCCATATTTGGATGCACAAAAAGGTGACAAGGGCCTTCCAGCCTTCCGCCTATTTTTCTTTGAATATGATGTCGTTCCCAGGGTCTCAGCAGTGGAAGACTCAGTCATCAAAGATTTAAACCCAGCCAGCAAGCATCTAGCAGCTTGCGTATTCATCCAACCCTCCTCTCTGTTTTCTCCTTTGTTCTTTTTATGATTTTGTTTTTATACCTGTGATCCGTTCTAGGAGACTGGGGATGGAGAGAATCCCTGACCATGCATCCTTGTAACCTCTTGGTTAGGGAGATGGGGAACCTTTGGCCCAGCTCCCATCAAGCCACACCTGGAGGGTCACAGGTTCCTCTCCCCTGTTCTAGGTTATTTGTAATGCAGATGGGAAGAATGGGCAGCGGGGGTGCAGGGTGTTCAGGCATGGCAAATGACAAGAGAGAAGTCGCCTTACTTAAAATACTCAGCAAACTGAATTTTGGTGCCCCTCCCCCCAAGAAAGGCCTCTGCCTCAGACATTTCATTGTTAAGGTCCAATTTTTCAGTGTCATTTCTGAAGCTTTCTTCTCTTTTATCCTCTAGGGGTTAGCAGGTAACCATTAAATTATTGCTCGTTCCTTCTCTGAATGCTGTTCTCCCAGTAGGCAGTGCAAAACCTTCCTTTACTGATATTGTGGGTTCCATGGTAGGGGGAACATAACTAGAGGGAGTTAGCCCATGATAGGGGAGTGCAGAATGTTAGCCTGCTGCCAATTTATCCGTTCTGGACATAGTCCTTTTTCTCCAGGCTCTTACGATATGCCACCTCCTGATCTATTCTCCTCCCCCCCAAAAAAACTCAGTGTGTGACATACACTCAACATTCCTCCTGACCTATTTTGCCCCTCCCAAAAAAACACCAGTGCATGGTATACACTCAACATCTCTTCCTAATCTATCTCCCAGTGCAAATACACTCAAAATCCCTATTTGCTCCTTCAGCCTCTCTCCCAACTTGTTTGTAGTTCATTTTGTGGCTTGCGTCTCCTTCCTCTTCCTCAAGAGGTTTGCCTCTTGATTGGGAGTCTGCGCTCTCCCTTGTCCTGTGTTGCTGTCCCCCCTCAATGTCGTCTCCCAGTTTCCAAGCTGTTGTAGTTTGGTTTTAATGCCTTAAAACTGGTTTCCCAGGGCATTCAGGGGCTACGCGGAGAGGAAGAGGCGGAAGCGGGAGAATGATTCTGCGGCTCTGATCCAGAGGTACGAGGGCGACTCCTCCTCGCACGAATTCAATCCTTGCCTTGTTGCATGGGCCACCTGCAAGGGGCATCGGCATTGCTTTTGAAAAAAATAAATGCTGGCAGCGAGATGTTTCAGATGCTGGTACAGAGAACCGAAGAAGCTGATGGCAGTCAATTGGGCAGGTTCTTTGTTCTTAACAGGGCACAGTCCCTCTGAAAGCAAACTTGGCAAGAGCTTGAAGGCCAAATATTTACTAATGTGGTTCGGTTCCATCGTGCAGGACTCGTCACTGATTTTCTGTCCTCCTTGCAAATAGAGATAACTAAACACGGGGTGGGGACCTTTTTCAGCCCAAGGGCCACATTACCTTTGGGGAAAACCTCCTAAGGATCACATTCCACTGGTGAGCAGGTCCAAGGCAAAAGTAGGCAAGACAACAAATGCAAATTTTACTTTGTACAAGAGCCTAGTTTCTACTCACACCACCTCTCTATCATCCATCCAGGCAAGCAAGAAGCAAGATCAGAATGCAAGGCAGGGCCAGCCCACCCATGAGGCAAGGTGAGATGACTGCCTCATGTGGCAGGTTCCACAGGAGCAGCAGAACTGGCCTCCAAGGAATCATTGCCTGTTGCCACAATGGTGGCAACAATAGCTGTAGTGCACTCCTCTGAGGCCAGGTCAGCCTCCTCTTTGGCAGTCTCCCTCACCCCCCCTCCAGCAGCCTCTTGGCAAATTGGAGGCCTTGCTAGTCTCCTTCCACCCTTGTTCCTGATGTAGATCTTCACCCACCTCTTCTTCACTGGCTGTGGGGAGGCACCATGTTGTAGTTCGCCTCAGGTGCCAAAGTGTCTTGGTCCAGCCCTGATTCAAGGGCACATTCCATCCACACATAAACACACAAGGAGGGCACAGAGCCGGGTCAGTGAGGGGTGTTGTCTAGGGAGAGTCCCAAGGCTTGGAAGGCCACGTTTGGCTCTTAGTCCTGAGGTTAGAATCAGAACTTTGCACTGAAAGAGGGAAGGCAACCCCTCCCAAATAGGCCCACACAAAGAGGGCTAAATGTTTTGTGTTAGGGTAGTGTTCAAAGTCCTTTGCATACATTAACTCCACAATTGTTACAATAACCTACTAAGGCAGATAGTTTGATCTCCAGCCCTTCTCTAAAAGGAGGGGAACCACATATACTCCTAGGCTTTGCCAAGTTTGCTTTTGCTGGGTGAAGTGGGGAAATTGTGAGGAAGAAGGAAAAGTTGGAGGGAGTCAACCTTTGCAAGAGATGTCCTGTTAAGAAGGCTGTTGTGTTGTACAGTTCCATCTTGGAAAAGTTGGGACGCCTCCCAGCGAAGTGGTTGTACTCTGGACTTGAGCCAACCTGAGATGCGAATCTCCCTGCTTTGTTTTTCTGGTTGCGGGAGAAGGTGGCTGAGTGCATGTTGCTGCGTGGGGCTTTTTTCCAGCAGGTTCGTCTGCCGTCTGGCACCCTCTCCTGGAGCTTCGCAAGGGCAGACCTTGCAGGCGGTTGAATGTGGTTCCCATCTTGGGTTGATGCCGCCAGTTTCCCAGGCTGGCCTGGTCTTTCCTGCTGCCTCGTCTTGGCAAGCTCCTGCGCTGCAGTCCTAAGCAACCCCCCTCTCCTCCATCCCTGATCCTTTTGCTTAGAAACTGTTGCATGTTCGAGGGGAATAAATGCTTTTCTCCCACCCCCTTTGGTGCTAGGCTGGCCTGCTCACTCTCCTTGGCTCAGAAGGAGAAGCTTGGTGCCAGCAAATTTTGGTCTCTTGATGTGGTGCCCAGTCTGGCAGGGCGAGGGACTCATTTCAAGCTGCTTTCTTTGGTAATCAAACAGTGGCTTTTTGCTGCAGCAAGATTAGGGGGGGGGCCTTGCTTGAGGCTGGCTGAGGAACTGGGTGTGGTGGTGGCTTATTCTCTTGAGAACTTGTGGGGCAGGGGAGGAAAGCTCTTCATGCTACTACTCCACATGAGGACAGTATCCTGTGCCAAAAGACACCATCGTCACAGGAAGGGAAACAAGCTACTAGTGAAGTGGGGGGGGGGGTTGTAGCTTTCATTTTTCATTCTTTGGGGCATTTTGAGAGGCCAAGGGTAGTGCTTTGATTGCAGTGATGCCCCCTTGCCCAGTTTCTGTAGTCTCTGTGGCAGAAATGGCTTCCCGTATGGCTGCCTTACACTACAGTGTTAAAGAACACTGGGGGTGGGGGTGGGGAGAGAGATTAAATGTTTGTGGCTCTGTCAATGGAGGGGAGATTTTTAGGAGGAAGGTGCAACACCCTCCTCTCTATGGAGGGTGGATGAGTGGAGAGGAAAAGAGACATAGAAAGCCTCCACCCGCACCATGTTCTCTTGGTCCTTGCGTCGTGCCCTGTTTTTGTCCATGGCGGGACATTGCCTTGCCTTGAGGGCTTTGGCGGCAGCTCATAGCTCCCCATTGGTCTGAGGGCCCCACCCCTGGCCTAATGTGTGTGTTCCATGCCTCCTGCTGGGTCCAGCAATGGGCCTGTGAGTGTCTCCATGGCAACCAGGCCTAGTGTGGATGGAGTCAGTGGTTGGGCTTTGTGTGATCTTGGAAGATGAGGTTCTGTTCTCTTTCATACAAACACACACGGAATCCTTTCTGTGACTGAAATCCGTTCTTTGTGCTTGGGTTGCTAAATACTCCCACCCACTCACCCCTTGTATATAGTGAAAGAATTTCTGCACTATTATAGAGTGATTAATTGACTGGAGGAACTTTTATCCAACTTCATGGGAGGGCAGAATGGAGCCTGGGCTGTGTTTGTGGCTGGCTGGCTGGCTGGCTGGTTGACTGGCTAGCTGGGGTGAATTCAATGCTACCCCTACCCCCCTCCTCACTCACTCTGTTCAGTTTGTTTTAGAGCCAAAATGCAGCTTTTTCACATAACTGCACCATTCAACGATTTGCTTTGCCATTTGGCGTTGTACATACAGTCTCTTTTGAAATCTAAATTTGTTTTAAAAACTCCTGTCTCACCCATCTGCCTTAAAGGCCAGGGTGTGGGCTACAGCAATAAATACATTTTTAAAAATAATAATAATAAAGATTATCAAAGAAATAAGAGCAGAATTTGCCAAGGCCAAAGAAGTGCTAGACTAGGTTTCTTTTTACATTCTTGGTTTTAAAATAAAATTTGTGGGGGAATGGAAAAAGAAATAAAAATATTTAAAATCAACAATACATCAAAATAGGGCCATCTGTAAGTCTACCGCAATCCATTTTGAAAAACCTGATGGAAAAGGCAGGTTTTCAGCTGGTGCCTAAAAACAACGCTGATATAAATCAGATGTTACACAATGGGGTGGCTGTTACTGAGAAGGCCATGTAGGTCACAGACACTGCCCCCCCCCCAAATTTCTCTTATGGCTTGAACTACCAGATGTGCCTCCTGAGTAGATCTCAAGTTATGGACTGAATGACATGGGGAAAGACTCAACCTTGGATGGCCATCCCACCAACTAATTAGGGCTTCATGCTTCAGGGCTGAAATGTTGAATTGGGGTCAGTAGTTAATTGACGACTAATAAGAAACCAGTCTTGTAATGGCCCCTAAATGTCAGACCCAGCAACATTCATAGCCACATTCACAGCATACATCTAAAGCACTGTGATATCAATTTAAACTGCCATGGCTTTCCCAGAAGAATCCTGGAACCTGTAGTTTGTTAAGGGGAGTGAGAGTTGTATTCCTCTCTGACAGCTACAATTCCCAGAGTTCCCTGGGAAGAAGGATTGGTTGTTAAGCCACTCTGAAAATTTAAGCCCTGTGAGGGGAATGGGGGCAGACTTCTAGGGACATTCAGCTGCATTAACAAACTACAGTCCCCAGAATTCTTTTTTAAAATGTGTGTGTGTGTGTGTACACACACACACACACATTTTAATTGATTATTTAACATATTAGTTCCAACAGTCATACAACAGTCATATAACATATCTTCAAATCTTATACAATATTTTTGACTTCCGTCAACACCTCTGATGATTTTCCATTCTTTATCACTTTTTCTACATTTCTTAATTTCCTATTACATTTAATTATCCTTAACTAATAATTCTTTTGCAGTATTTATTGTAATATTTCAAATAAACCACCTAGCATAATCTGTTCATCACAATTACTTTTCAAATAGTTCATATATTTACTCCATCCCCAGAATTCTTTTGGGGGAAGTCATGACTATTTAAATTGGTATCATACCGGTATAAAATATATGTTGTGAATGTAGATTTTCATGGCTGCAATTTACATTAGCTACAATTTCTGGACTGTTGCTCTTTCATCTTCCTCATTCAGCTCTATGTACTTTTGAAGGAAGAAAATGCTAACCAGCCCCACTACCACATCACCAAGAGTCCAATTAATATGTGTGTACGACACTCAGAGACTTAGTGGGTGTCAAGAGAAGACATCTAGGGTGCTATGGGCACCGTATTGTTGGCCCCCTGCATTTTAGATTCTGCTTTGAGCAATGGATTTGTATTTGGATTACGTGGCCTTCAAGATGTCCTTCCGAGTTCTATGAAAATGAAAGAAATTCTAAGCATGGTTTGTCCAAGAATATTTGCCCACTTTAATTTTAGCTCTAAGCTGTTGGGCCCGTTCTGAGTTTGCAGATCTGTGGTTGTTTGCTAACAAGCAAAGGCAAAATTATTGTTTCTCCTTCCAGAAGGAAAACCAGCTCTTAATTATACATTCCTTGCTGGATCAAACAGAAGGTCCACCTATTTGCAATGGTGGGGTGTGAAAGCACCAGTTGGCCCCCTGTTGGAGCCCCTGGATCTGGGGCTCAAAGATATGGATGTGCCTCTACTACCTTTGGAGAAATGCCTGTTAATTCTGTTCAGCATTCCGTAGAAAATAACTTCATAGATGTTTCCTATTTTGGATTTTCAGAGGCTCTTTGAAAATAAACTGGCCATGAATAGATTTTTGCCCTACATTTATACAGATTTACTTGGTAGCAGTGGAGGCTGGTTCATTTGGGCAAAGGGGACACTGCACCACCAACGTCAGTCTATCTCCAACCAACTCCCTCCTGCCTGCCTTCTTACTTCCAACCAGTCCTGGTTGTAAGCTCTGCCTCTCAGAGTCCTCCTCTGTAATCCCAGTGTTGACCTTGTAGAAGTCAGCAGGGAGTAAAATGTGGGAGGACTGGGGGGACATCAGAAGTAATGGCTCTGCCTGCCATTGGTCTGGCACCATCTACTGTTGGACTTCCTGCCTTCCACCCTTCTGGTCCCAGTGGGCAATAGCCTCCTCTGTCTGGTAGAGTTCCACATTTCTAATGCCTGATAACAGGTAACTTTTGTGCCTGATTTATTTTGATTTTGTTTATTTCATGAACAAATTATATTTATGTGACTTGTTTTCTGAAGATTCTGGGATGCCATGCCCACAGTAGCAATGTGCTATTGGATACAGCCCAAGGCACCATGGGCGTAGCCAAGGGGAAGTTGGGGGAAGTTGCCCCCACCAAATAAGTAAATCAATAAAAATACTTAACTGAGGTTCAGCACACCCCCACACCCCCGCCTCAACATAAATCCTGGCTACACCCATGCAAACTACTTTGATGCCCAAAGCAGAAAATTCAAAATGGTGCTTTACCCTTAGTGTTTTTAAAAATGCTGTTGGGGGCAAGTGCCTGGCAGTGTGTGACAAATAGGGCCAACTCTGATTGCGGTGCCAAAAATATATTCTTTCTCCCCCTACCCACAATCCATAGTGTGTTCATTTCAGTCTCAATTACGGTGCAGGCTATGAAAATTCTTCCTTCTCTCCCTGGACTTTGAAGAAGACCCTGCATTTTTGAAGCTGTGGTAAATGCCACAGGAGATGTACTCCCATGACGGACTTCAAATTTATTTTTCTAGGTCATATCCCTTATGGGCATTTTAGTCCCTGAGAGAGAAAATCCAAATCATCTTCTCTTTCTTCCCAAGGTGGTAACAACCTAATAATTACTCCCTGTAATAGCGAACTTTGTGGTGAGGGCCGGCAGAAATTTGAAACGGGGCCCACTGAGAAACAAGGAGTTACGTATCAGCATTCTCAGGGGAATGCATTTAACCCTCCGCAATTACAAGAAACTTTTTTAAAAAACCTAAGAGGACAAAAAAAGAGGGGGTTCTTTTGGGAGGAAGGATGAGATAAAAATCTAAAAAATAAATTAACAAACAAAACACATGATTGGCATTCGCTGAAAGTTGTGTGTTGGAAGTGAGGTGGGTGTGCATAAAATGGGGGTGGGGTGGGGGGAGAACGACCTTCAGCTGCTTATAGCTGTGTTCCCAAACTTTTCCCCTCACAGACCACTTGAAGATTGCTTAGGGTCTCAGCAAATCCTTTAGGTTGCATACACACCATGCATTTAAAGCATATGCCTTTCCCCCAAAGAATTCTGGGACCTGGAGTTTGTTAAGGGTGCTGGGGGGCTTGTTGCTCTGTGAGGGTTGAACTACAGCACCCAGGATTCTTTGGGAGAAGCCATGTGCTTTAAGTGCATGGCATGTATGCTATATGATTTTTAAAATTTTATTTTTACAGACATGCCGCTGACCACCTGAATGAAGCTCATGGACCACTCTTGGTCCATAAATCACAGTTTGGAAACTCTGGTTTATAGTATTGGAGAAGGGTATGTCTGACTGGCTGAAACCTAAACAAAAGCACACCTCTGTTTGGCTGCAAGGGTAAACTGCAAGCTTTTTGCTGCAGACCCGACTTGTACATTCAAATAATTTACAGTTGGCTGCCCTTCAGTGGTACTCCCAAATCTCATTCCTGAGGTGAGCATCCTCTCCCTGCAAGCTAAAATTACATCTCTCGGCTTCTTTTATGCCATTACTGAACCAGATTCACAACACTCATTTAAAGTAGTATTGTTATAACACTCATGGCTTCCCCAAATAACCTTGAGAATTGTCATTTGTGAAAAGCTGCTGAGACTTGTTAGGAGAGGACTACAGTACCCAGAGTCCCCTGGGAAGAGGGATTGAATCATAGATCATAGAATTGTAGTTGGAAGGGACCCCAAGAGTCATCTAGTCCAACCCCCTGCATTGCAGGAATCTCAGCCAAAGCATTCTTGACAGATGGCCATCCAACGTCTGCTTAGAAACCTCCAAGGAAGGAGAGTCCACACCACTTTCCAAGGGAGTCTGTTTCACTGTTAAAGTGCATTCAGTTTTGTGGAAAATGATCCAACGAGTAACCATGATGATTTTGGGAGGGCATTTCAGAGCCACATGAAAGGCCATGCACTCTACTTTCTCCAAATGACAAGAGCTCCAAATCCTTCCACCAGTAAGGCTTAAAGCATCTTACAGGGGATAATTTTCAGTAGAAAAGCCCCACATGGGTTAAGGGCCCAGAAACCCTTCTCTCCTGCATTACTGCTATTCCTTTTCAAATTTTAGCCTTGGCATTTGCATGGAATAAGCATTAAGAACCATCCCAAAAATTATAATTGTGGAACAGTGTTCTGCCAGCAAAGGAATTCGGAGCAGGTTTCCCCTTACTTAGCAAACATTTCTGCACTGGGTTCCTAAAGACAGATGTAGCAATGGCAACCCCCAAGTGGCAACTGTGAATGTAAACAGTCTGGGGCAAGTTGTGGCCAAATGGTGCACTTTCAACTTACCACCACTTGACATCCCTGCAAGATACATGCAGATTTTGCTCCCAAGATGTTAGCTCACATGTTCTCATGAACAGTTGCTGCTCCGGATGTGATTTGTTTGTGTTTCGATGAGCATTTATTCAGGATCCTGAGCAGCTCCAATAGTGGTGTAGACATACTTTTATTTTATTTTTAAAATAATGGTTCTGTTTTGCAAATTGCAGCTCCCTAAAAAACAAAACGGCTACCGATTCCTTCTGTGTCATTGCTACAGTATATACTTGGAAAGAAGGTGATAAATGTTGAAATCAGATAAACAATGAGTAAAACAGCTATCTGATATCACCCCTTCCAAAATCTGCATGGGTCATTGAGAACATGAATTCTCAAGAGAAGTATTTACAAAAGTTAGGAACAGAAACTGTATTGTGTCAAATTGATTAGGGCCACATTCACAGCACACATTTAAAAGCTACTATGACTTCTCCCGGGATGTGGGTGGCGCTGTGGGTTAAACCACAGAGCCTAGGACTTGCTGATCAGAAGGTCGGCGGTTCGAATCCCTGCGACGGGGTGAGCTCCCATTGCTCGGTCCCAGCTCCTGCCAACCTAGCAGTTCGAAAGCACCTCAAAGTGCAAGTAGATAAATAGGTACCGCTACGGCGGGAAGGTAAACGGAGTTTCCGTGCGCTGCTCTGGTTTCTCCAGAAGCGGCTTAGTCATGCTGGCCATGTGACCCGGAAGCTGTACGCCGGCTCCCTCAGCCAATAAAGTGAGATGAGCGCCGCAACCCCAGAGTCAGCCACAACTGGTCCTAATGGTCAGGGGTCCCTTATGACTTCTCTCAATGAATTCTGGGAGCTGTAGTTTGCTATGGGTGCTGAGAGTTGTTAGGAAATCTCTCTCCCCCACTCATGGAGCTCACTAGAAAGAGGGATTGACTGTTAAACCACTGTGGGAATTGTAGCTCTGGAAGGGAAACTGGGATCTTCTAACAACTCTCAGCACCCTTAACAAAGTACAGCTCCCAGAATTGTTTCGAGGGAAACCATCTGTTTAAAGTGGTATCTTAATACTTTAGATGTGTGGTGTGAACATGGCCTCGATGTAGTTTGCTCTCTTGCATTCTGTTTATCATGCATCAATCTTTCCATGAGCGCATAACGCCAAACATGCTTCTGCCAATATGCAATTAAAACACTAGAAGATGTCTTCCAGCCTCCAGCTATGGTTGAGCTAGCTACGTCAATAGGAAGTTAATAAGAGATATTCAGGGAGCTGTTTAGTGCAAAGATTCCTTGCTTTTTTTCTGTGGCTGATCTCCACTCCACAAAAAAAACACACCTCCAAATCTCTTTCTATATACAGCTTGATGTATTTACCACCATGGTACCTTCTGGGAAATGGCCCACATCAGTCTTCTTGGCTCCTCAGTATTGACCACCTTCTCTTTGTTCTGCTTCTTCCAGAAACTTCAGGAAGCATCTGCGGATGGTGGGGAGCCGCCGCATGAAGGCGCAGAGTGAGTGAGGGGATGGAGGTGGTGCAGGGTGTGCTGTGTTGAATCACGTCCTGAAGCCCTAGATCTCCTAGACTGGGGAAGCAGAGGGGAATCTGTGGCCTTCCAAATGCTGTTGGACTCACAACTCCCTGCAAGCCAGCAGGGCTCAACAGTCAAGGGTGTTGGGTGTTGCTAGCTTAGCAAAACCTGGAGGGCCATAGAAGTTCCCTGCCCCTGCCCCAGAGAGCTGCTCTTGCCTTGCTTCACTTTCCCCCCCTGTGCCTCGCTTTCTCATCCAGACCGATCCATGAATGTAGACTTCCTTTTTTTCTCGTTCACCTGCACTAGCTGTTACAGAGTGTGCCTAAAGAGCATGAGATTATGAGCCAGGGCGGTGTGGTGGTTTTTCTTTTGGTTGGTCGTATAGAAAGCTGTGATAATTTAGTCCCTTATTGCCATTATTTAATTTTTTTAGCCTTTGCCGAGCGCCGAGAGAGGAGCTTCAGCCGGTCCTGGAGCGACCCCACTCCCATTAAGCCCGAAAACCTCAATGATTCCCGAGAAAGTACGTTCCTTTGTTGTGTCCTCGATGAACCTCCCCTCCCGTTCCCTACCTTCCAAAACCCAACGTCAAACTGGTTTGGCATGGGCTTAATCACTGGGCCATCCATGTGAACAATTCCAACTAACCCTTAGGTTTCCCCAGAATCCTGTTCTGTCTGATTTGCTGTGGGGATTAAGCTGTGATGCTGCTGTCTTAGGGTGTTTAAATTTGCTGGTCTGTGTGTGAGTTGCAGAGGGCAGCCTCTCACAACAGCTAGAATGGAGGTGAGAGAGTGTCTGTCTCTCTGAGCGTCCTTGTAAGCGGGTTCTGCTTGGGGACAGGTCAAGGGTCCCAGGTTCAGGCCCCAGCTCCTCCTATTCAGAATCATGAGAACTGAAGAATAATGATTCAGTGACAGTGTGACTACTTTGCATTCAGAAGGTCCAAAGGCCCCCAGCAACTCTAGGTTGGGTTGATACACACATTCTTCCTCTAATCCTGGATAGCCACTGCCAATCAGTGTAGAGAATATTGAGCTACGTAGGCAGACCAATGATCTGATGTGTTGTAAGGCAGGCAGCTATGCTCTTATTTAGTAAGGGCTGTAGCTCAGGGGCTGAGGTACCTGGTTCAATCTCTGGCATCTCCAGGTAGGGAACCCGGCAGATGGCCTTCTTGGTAGTGGCGCCCGCCCTGTGGAATGCCCTCCCATTAGATGTCAAGGAAATAAACACCTATCTGACTTTTAGAAGACATCTGAAGGCAGCCCTGTTTAGGGAAGTTTTTTAATAGTTGATGTTTTGTTGTGCTTTTAATATTCTGTTGGGAACTGCCCAGAGTGGCTGGGGAAACGCAGCCAGATGGGCAGGGTATAAATAATAAAATTATTATGATTGTTGTTGTTATTGTTACTATTAGGACTTGTAGTGTCCCCTGAAAGGAAATCCTGGAAAGCAGCTGCCAGTTGGTGTAAACAGTAATGAGCTAGACGGCCCAATGGAACAGACTGTTTCTATGAGGCCAAGGTTACCTGCACAGCCTGCTTGCATTTTCTTCCCACCTGAGAGCTGAAAAGAGGCTGGAGCTAGATAGGACACCAAAAACATGCAGCCTTGCCTCTTGTTATTTGTTCTTTATTTATTAACCCATCCTCCATCTGGGGAACCTTTGATTGTACAGTTGTACAGACAATCCTCATTTTGCGCTGGGGCTACAGAGCGCACATCAACCCATTCTGACTCCACTCCACCCCTTTTCATGACATCTTTATGGTGCTTTGGGGCTACTTCCAGGTTTGGTGCCATGATGTGCAATCACACATCATTCAGATGCGCCTAAGCCGGGAATTGGTAGTTCATCAACAACTCCCATCATCCTCCCATTCAGTGTTGGCCATGATGATGGGAGCTGATGGCACGCAAAGCCCAACAACCTCTGGAGGACCAAAGGCTCCCCAGCCCTGGTATATAGAGATAGCAAGAGGTATCACACATAATATAAGCAAACCACACAATAAAATTATAATACCGCAAAACTTTGCATCAGAGTAAATAGAGACATCTAAGTACAGTATCAATGGCAGTAGAGTAAAACCTTTTTAGATGCTCAAGTGGTTCTTCCACTCCTCAATTAATTTCCACAAGTACCCTACAAGGTAGGTGAGCTGGCCCAGGGTCACCTAGTGAGCTTCATGCTTGAGTGTGGGATTTGAACCCTGGTCTCCCAGGTCTTAGTCTGAAACTCTAACCACTACATCACACTAGCTATCATTGTGACGATAGCAGTGCCAGTCAGAGTGACAAGGGGAGACCATTCCACCAATGAACCTCTGTGGTATCACCACTTTATTCATTTATAAGATTTCTTACCTGCCTTTCATCCTATGCTCCTAGAGTGGCTTGCAATTTTAATATATAGGTATAAAAACAGATCAAAAGAGTTAAAGATTTTAAAGAAGTTTGAAACATTCCAACTGGAACAGAACAGTATGAATTCAACTCAAGATTATGGGTTCCTCAAAGCAAAGGAATCTTAGTTGTCAAAGACCAGAGCAAAGAGTTTCATCTTCAGCAAATGGTGAAAGCTCTGTGACAAAGGTTATAATACTTTTATTACTTAATAAATTTATATCCTGCCCAGAAGCCCAGGGCAGCAAACAGATTTAAAGATGAAAACAAAGCAAAACAAAACACATTCTGATTAAAGCATTCTAAAGACAATTACACCTAAAACATTCTAGAAGCAAATAGATTAAAAACATACTTCCATCCAGTGATCTTGAAGATACCAGAAACAGTATTCTTCAGCCACCAAACACCTGTGTAGACAGGAATGTTTCAAATCATTCCTGGAAGTTAATAATGCTGGAGACAGATGCCCCTCTCTAAGGGAGGACATTCCACAAAGGGGAAACCACCACTGAAAAGGTCTATTCATGTGTCGGTGTCAACCGGTCAAGTCCAAGATGATGGACACCTCTGTATGGGGAGGGAGTTCCACCACAAGGGAGCTTCCACAGAGAAAGCTCTCACCCATGCCATCATTACACATGCTTCTGAGGAGCCCCCTCTAAAGATTAACCCTGCTGTAAGCCCCCTAGGAAGTCCTTGGTATTAGGCAATGTGGCAAAGACGCAAACTAAGTAAGACAGGAAGATAAGCATCCTTGAATTGGGTTCAAAGGGGAATGCTCAGCCAACATAACTCTTTCAGAATCTGCATCCTAAAGGCAGCAACCAGCCTCTGATGTTTTGGTCTCCCCTTTTTACAGTTTCGACAGCAGGCATCTTCCGGGCTTCATCTCTGATCATCTGTTGGGGCCTCTTAATTGCTGGTCTGATCATGTGAGGAAGGAGGCCAATGTGCATGTGGGCCCCTTCTTAACCAGGACACTTTAGAACATTGTATGTGTGTGTTCATGTGCATAAGGACCCCTCTGCAATGCTTCTCCCTCTGTATCTCCAGGCCATGAGCTCCAGGATTCTTGCTGTGCACTTGACAAGGGTGTTGACTTGAACTGGGAGGCAGAGAAAGAGCTTGAGGCTGCAGCCTGCAGTGGGGAAGACTTCATCCCACCCAAGATCATGGTGAGCAATACCCAAAAAGCAGTACGGGCAGCTGCCAAGGGCAGAGGTGGGGAACGCTTATCAGTACAAGGGCCACATCCCATCACAGGAAAACTTTGGGGGTACACATGCAGCAGTCCAAGAGGCAAAAGTGGGCAGAGCAATGGAGGGAAAAAATCATTTTTGCTAGACACACTCAGAGATGCTCACCCCTCTGTGTCCTCCAGGCAGGCAGGAGGCATGATCTCAGCTAGGCAAAAGCCTTATTCAAGGATACAGTGAAGCAGGGCCAATGAGGGGTATGAGCTGAGGAGACAAGTGGTTGTGGGGTTGTCCTGTAGAATAAAGAATTAACCAGTTCAGGCCTCCATATATGGGATGTGGCCCTTGTCCACTTGCCCCTGCCACTCCCCACCTCCCTTCTGTGCCCATTTTAATTGTCTCTCCTTCTTTCTTTCTCCTTCAATTTTTCCAGCTCATTTCCTCCAAGGTGCCCAAAGCTGAGTATGTTCCGACGATCATCCGCCGGGATGACCAGTCCATTATCCCCATCCTCTATGTAAGTCATAGCACAAGACCTCAATGGTCCATTCCATCTTAGTAATTTTCTGAAGTGGCATCACTTCGCCAAGTGCCAGAAAGCGTATATTGAGGAATTCCCTCCCAAGGGAGGTTAGTCTGGTCAGAAAGGTCTTTGGAACCTAAGGAGCAGGCAGTGCTGATCACTGGGCTGCTGTCAGGGCAAACCATGACAAATTGCTGGTTCCAAATGTGTTCTGATGTATTTTAACATTGTTTTCAATTAGTTTGGTTGTGTCGCTTTGCATTTTATAATGTTGCGTTTAAATGTTGTAAGCTGCGTTGAATTCCAACTTGGGAAAAAGGCAGGTTATAAATCAACAATAATAATAATAATAATAATAATAATAATAATAAAAAAAAAATATATCTCTTTTAGGGCGATTCCCGGTAAAGCTAAACCAATCATCTGCACTCTATTGCTGATTCTATTATTATAACATTTTATCAGGCTGTTCTATGTTATTTGAATCTCCATGCTGTTGGCTGTTTCTGAGTTCTATTTTGGTTGGAGAGTGGGATAGAAGTATCTCAAATCCATAAATAAATTGTAGGCAGAAGATTGGTGGAAGATCACATTAAACGTGGGCATTGACTGATAGTTTATGGGAGAACTTGGCCAGTACAGTGGTTGTTTTCCTTCTCTTCCTGGATTATTCCCATGTGACAGAGGTTGGAAACGTTAGCTGTAAAGAAGAGTCTGTGCTGTTATTAATAAATAAATAATATTCCATCAGTGGCATGTTACAGCATAGCACAAGCAAATATAATAATAATAATAATAATAATAATAATAATAATAATAATAATAGCAGGGCATGCTCAAAATTCAACTCTTTTTTGGCTCTATACCAGAGGTAGCTTAAATAATAATAATAATAATAGTAGTAGTAGTAGTAGTAATTTTATTATTTGTATCCCACTCATCTGACTAGCCACTTGGATGGTTTTAAAAGAGGATTGGATAAATTCATGGAAGAAAATGCCATCAATGGCTGCTAACTACAAGTGCTTCTGAATACTAGTTGCTGGAAATCAGAGGAAGGGAGAGCGCTCCTGTGCTCAGGTCCTACTTATGGGTTTCTGGTTAGCCACTGTGGGATCAGATTGCTGCACCAGACGGGCCATTGGCCTGATCCAGCAGGCCCCTTCTTATGTTCCAACTCGTTAAAAAAGTTAGTATCACTTTTTTCTGCCTAGCACAATGCGCTTTGTGCCTTTCTGATGGATTGAAATGTGGTGTGTTTTTAAAATAAAAAAGCAATGCCTCTCTGTTTGTTTGCTTCCAGGATCACGAGCATGCCACCTTTGATGATATTTTGGGTACGTGAGTGTTTGGTAATTAAGCTGAATTGAACGGGACTGGGACTGGTGGGTGACATTGTGCCCTGAGACAAATGGCTAGAACCTTTGCTTCACTGTTAGTTCTGAATGCAAGACAAAGGTTTCTTCACACCGCACTGGCTCCAAAGGAAGCTCATCTCTAGAGAAAAGGGGAAGGAAGGGCTGGGGTGCCTTTTGCTGGCCTCCTTCTAATCTTCTTAGGCCTGATGGACTGCAATCCCCTTCAGCCTCAGTCAGCACAGAGGGTTTTAAAAGAGGAGTAGACAATCAACCAACTTCTCTGTTGTGGCCAATGACCAATACAGTGGTACCTCTGGTTACGAATGCTTCAGGATACAAACTCTGCTAACCCGGAAGTAGCTGTTCCTGGTTGCGAACTTTGCCCCAGGATGTGAACGGAAATCGCACGCCAGAGGCGCATGCACAACGGGAAGCCCCATTAGCAAAAGCACGCCTCAGGATAAGAACGGTTTCAGCTTAAGAACAGACCTCCGGAACGAATTAAGTTTGTAACCAGAGGTACCACTGTATTCAGAAAGAAACTTTTTACATGCATATATAAAGTAACGCAAAGCAAAATAGAAAACCATAGCAGTCAAATTACTAGTAAATGCATTGTGTTATAAAATGCTGGGTGCAAAAAAATATGAAATTATAAGTTTGTTAAAATTAATTCCTGGCAAGTTTTACATGCAGGAGAACATTAGCCACCCTCGAAGAGGTGAATGGATATGTTCTGATCTGGAAGCATAAGATGCATCTGATCATCCTGGCAATTTCTGTAAAAAGAGTTCGGTAAAAAATCTTAGGTACCGTATTTTTTGTCCTATAGGGCGCACCGGCCCATAGGACGCACCTCATTTTTTTGGGGGGGGGAATGAATAAAAAAAATTTATTTCACCCCCCCCCCCAGCCGTGGCTGCCGCCCCAAGCCTTGCACACACCCGCCTGAAGCACAGGGCGCCCTCCGGACGGCTCCCCGTGCTTCGGGCTGCAGGCTGCCGCCCCAAGCCTCGCGCGCCCGGCGGGACCTCCTGCCAGGCGCGCGAGGCTTGCGGACACTCACCCGAAGCACGGGGAGACCTCTGGAGGGGGGCGAGAGGGGTCGGTGCGCACCGATGCCTCTTGCTCTCCAGGCTTCAGCGAAAGCCTGCATTCGCCCCATAGGACGCACACACATTTCCCCTTCATTTTTGGAGGGGAAAAAGTGCGTCCTATGGGGCGAAAAATACGGTATATCATGATAAAAAGAACTCTGCATAAGAACTCAAGTTATCAATTTTACCTCTGCAGATTTGCAGGGGTATTTATGCTGACATTTCTTTAACCTCCCCTCCAGACCTGCTGACGGAAAAACATTTAAATGCACCACGGAAAATGCTTTGCTTCACACAGCACATAGTTAAACTATGGAACTCACTCCCACCGGAAGCAGTGATGTATTTAAAAGAGAACTGGACAGATTCATGGAGAAGAAGGCTATCAGTGGCCATTAACCATGATGGCTTTGCTTTGCCTCCATTTGCCAGAGGCAGCAATTATTCAGAATACAGTGGTGCCTCGCAAGACGAAAAGAATCCGTTCCGCGATTCTCTTCGTCTTGCGGTTTTTTCGTCTTGCGAAGCAAGCCCATTAGCGGATTAGCGCTATTAGCGGCTTAGTAGAACAGCTGATAAGCGGCTTAGCAGCTTAGCGGATCAGCTGTTAAGCGGCTTAGCGGATCAGCTGATAAGCGGCTTAGCGATCAGCTGTTAAGCGGCTTAGCGGATCAGCTGATAAGCGGCTTAGCAATCAGCTGTTAAGCGGCTTAGCGGATCAGCTGTTAAGCGGCTTAGCGGATCAGCTGTTAAGCGGCTTAGCGGATCAGCTGTTAAGCAGCTTAGCGGCTTGGGAAAAAGGGGGGGGGAACCCTGCAGGAACTCGCAAGACATTTTCGTCTTGTGAAGCAAGCCCATAGGAAATTCGTTTTGCGAAGCACCTCCAAAACGGAAAACCCTTTCGTCTAGCGGGTTTTCCATCTTGCGAGGCATTCGTCTTGCGGGGCACCACTGTACCTGTTGCTGGAACTCACAGGAGGGTAGAATTCTGCTCTTGTGCTCAGGTCCTGCTTTTGGGCTTCCCAATGGGGAATCTGGTTGGTCTCTGTGGGAACAGGATGCTGAACTAGATGGCTCATTGGCCTGATCCAGTAGGACTGCCATTAAGTTCTTATGGACCAGCCCTTTGATTCCACCATGATGGTGATATCTGCACCTTGGTCAAAGCCATTTCCTGCATGCTGTACATGTCTTATATACCCTTCTCTTCCCTCCCTGCCCCCCCCACCTGCCCCTTCCCTTTCTTCCATAGAGGAAATTGAGAAGAAGCTGAACATCTACCGGAAGGGCTGCAAAATCTGGAAGATGCTGATTTTTTGTCAGGTATATAAATGCCCCCTGGTCGTCCCTTTCCTTCCCAAATCTTGGATTCACTTACCACTGCCTCGTTCACAACTTTCCCCCAGCCCTTCCCCCTATTGGTTGTTCTCAAGAAGCTGGACTGAAGAAGTCCTTTCAGCCCGAGGGCGAGATTTCCTTCTGGGCAGCCTTCTGAGGGCCACATGACAGTGGTAGGCTGGGCCAGTGGCAAATGTGGGCGGAGCAATGAATCACAATTTTGCCTTTGTACAGTAGGCTAGTTTTCTACAGAGATTGACATACACACACTCCTTTCTGCCCTCCACCAGGGCAGGCAAAAGGCATGAACAGGGTTCAAGGACACATTGCAGCCAGGCAAACACACTCAGGGGAGGGGGCAGTGAGGGGTGTGGCCTGGAGACAGTTCTGAGGGCCAGATGGGGCAGGTGGAGGGCCGCATTCACCCCCCTGGGCTTGAGGTCCCCCATCCCATCATAAACTCCCCTCTCTGCTTCACCCTCCCAATTTTTGAGAGATGCTAGACTGCACAGCACCATCTTCCAGGTCTGTTCCCTCCCCTTGGCAACCACCAACAGCAGATTTTTTTCCTGGAGCCTCCATTTTTGTTGGTGCTGATTCATGAAGGAGGTTGGAAAGTCTATACTTAACCCCCACCGGACTGCCACCTCCAAAGGCCTAGAAAATGTGTCATGTTTCTTAAGCACTCTGGCTTAATCAGGACTGGCTATTCTCATTATTATCTTCTAAATGTCAAAGCCCTTGTTTGTGTGTTGCCTGGTCCACCTCCTTATCCTTTTTCAATTGTACGTTGTTGAAATTTCCAAAACAAAGCAGAGTACACAAAAGGCCTGGAGTTTTCACATTTCCACCCCATCAGACACACGCCCAATACCTGTGGGCGTTCTCTTGTTCAGCAATACCTTCTTCTCTGGGCATATTTGGAGTTTTATTGGTCCGCATTCACACTGTACATTTAAAGCACAATGATACCACTTTGAACAGTCATGGCTTTCCACAAAGGATTCTGGGAGCTAGAGTTAATTAAGTGTGCTGAGTGTTGTTAGGAGACCCCTTGCTTTCCTCACAGAGCTTCTATTCCTGAAGTGGTTTTACAATCAGCCCCACTTCCTGGGGAATGTCAACTTTTCCTCTGAAATTTTTTTGCAATATAGAGATCTGTTAAAATGTAATCAGTGAAGTCTGTAACATGGGGTGCACTTTCAAGTAAGTGAACCCTGCTGAACTCAAGCGGGGCTTGTTTCTGCATAAACATTAGCAGAATTTCAGTGTTAAATCACTGGAAAGCAAGGCTTTTAAGAATGATAGTTGACTGATTGTATGGTTTTTTTAATTGATTTATTTGCATATTCAAACAAAAGTTCTAAAGCAACAGACACACTTCCTTTGCCTTTTGAGGATGCAAGCAGCAGCTTAGTAGAGGTGTTTTCTCTTTTGTGAGAGAGCAGGGGGAAGCCTCTTCTAAGACCACATTTGCACTATGCCGTTAAAGCTCTATGATACCACTTTCAACTGTCATCACTCCCCCCCCCAAAGAATTTTGGGAGCTCTAGTTTGTCCAAGGTGCTCGGAGTTGTTAGGAAACTCCAATTTCCCTCACAGCTACAATTCCCAGAGTGGTTTAACAATCAGTGCTTCCCAGAGAACTCTGGGAATTGCAGCTCTGTGAAGAGAACAGGGGGTCTCCTATTCAGCTTTTAGTAGAGTGTGTGTGGGGGGGTAGGATTTGTCCTTTGTAATCCACTGAAAAATGAATACTTTTAATAATTAATGGTTCTTTTATTTATTTGTTTGGTGCATGTTAAGTTTTGCATTACGTATGTTTTTATAATGGTAAGTCACTTTGAGACGTTTTTGTTGCAAGCAGCAAATAAATGTAATGAATAATAAGTGCCTCCCGTTAGGTGAAGCTGGCCAAATAAGAAAGGAAAAGCAGTAACTGCAACAGCTCTACTGCAGCACACGCAGGCTGTTTCTCCAGACTCTGCCTCTTTTCCCCCTGCAGGGCGGTCCAGGCCACTTGTACCTTCTGAAGAATAAAGTTGCAACCTTTGCAAAAGTGGAGAAGGAGGAAGACATGATCTAGTGAGTGAGAGGATCCTGGACTTTTTGCTTGTTTCTCATTTGGGAGCCACAGCTATGTGTATCCTGCATGTGTGGAACTTTGGACTAAAGTTTCAACATCTCAGCATTCACTGTGAACTATACTGAGACCAGCTGGTATAGGGCGCAGTATATAAATTCTAATAATAACAACAATATAGTTTCCAGTTCTTAGGACTGCAGAAAATTGCCCGTCCATTTTGGCTGTCTGAAATCTCTACATGTGCACAGCAATTGTGCAGGGTTTTGCATAGAATTTGGAATCTGGAGAAGCTTCCAGATTGTTGTTGATTGGGAGAAAGCAAGCTTTCATGACCTCCAATAGAACTCTCCCCTCCTGAGTAGCAAAATAGAATCGTAGAACTGGAAGGGAATCCAAGGATCACCTAGACCAACCTCCTGCAGTGCATTAAACAGCATAAAATAAATAAGCAAATACATTCATGTTTGTGGGATTTATGTATGGATCGCTGCATTCAGATCTCTCTGGTGCAGAATCTGGGATGTGTTGGCCCAGAACCAATCACCCTTGGCTGACTGTCTTACATGGTTTTTGTCCTACCCTTCAAACACATTTATGTATTTAAAATCTTTCTACCCCACTCTTCTCCATAGAAGATGATCCCAGAGCGAAACTACAGATTGATTGCCCATAAAATAAAACTCATTGCCAATAAAAATACATAGCCAACAAAAACACACACCAAGTAACACATCAATACTAAAATCATAACAGCACGACTGAGCAAACCTCAAAGCAGCAAGTATAGAGGCCAGTGAATCACTCACAGGCCCAAGTGAATAATTAAGCCTTTATTTATTGGTGCTGAAAGAGCAGGCACCAATCAGTTCTGGGATGGAGCACTTGGGAGACAACAGTAGCTCAGTGAGCTTTGTAGAGGTTTGAACCCAGATGGGTGGAGCTTCATGCTCCAGCACCAGGGGCAGAGAGCAGGTGGGGGCGTGGCTGGCGCACATCCCGGGGGGGCGTGGTGCGCCACTCACAGGGGTGTGGTGCGCGTCCTGGGGGTGTGGCACCCAGTGGGGGGGCAGCCATGATGGCACCCCACCAGGATCGTGATGCCGGGGGCGGTACGCTCCCCCCGCCCTCCTCTTCCTCCGCCAATGGGCTTAGCCTGACGATCTAATCACTGCACCACACTACCTCTCTGTTATATGCCAAAGCTTGACGTTACCTGGGGGTTGAGGTAGGGGAAGGTTAGCATCAATCTGTGCTGTTTGGGGCTGTTGGGAGTTGTAGTCCAAAGTGCCTGGAGGATGCCAGCTGGCCAAAGGCTGGTGCAACTAGTGGGTAAAGACTTCAGCAGACCAGGCACCAGTGAATGATCTGCAAAAGTGGACATGGGAGGGAAACAACTATTTGCAGTCAGAGGTGAAACAGTGGGTTTAAACAGGGGTTCCCAAATTCCACTGGGTGGGCAGTGGAATTACTAAGAGGCAAGGGGTTGGAAGGGCAATGCTGATGGCATAATGACTATCAAACTTTGAAAAACTGGTGTCACTGGATCAAGTTCATCAATTTTGTTGAATTAATTAAACTAGATAGTTTTCATTGGATTTTGAATAAACGTGCAATTAATTGCTGCTGTTTAGGATTTTTATTATTATTATTATTATTATTATTATTATTATTATTATTATTATTATCTTCCTGAGTGGGTTGTGAATCACTGGGTTAAGGCATGGGTGGGAAAACCTTTTTGATCCAGTGAGCCAAATATTGATATCCTGCCACCCCAGCAGACCAGCTTTGACCACTCAGCTGTTGATCATCTGACATCACTCTGGTGCCAGGTGGGCGGTCCTTTGCACCTGTCAATAGAGTTGACCCACTGGGGGAGGCAGGGGAAATACCACACAAAGTGGGACTGAACTCCCCACCAATCCTGGTTTGCATGAACATTATTGAAAGTGGGACCACATATAACTGTCCCAATACCAACATAAGCACAGATCATTGTGAACACACCATAAAAAAGGAGGGCTCCCAAAATGGACTGCACACACATGTTTTTGGTCAGAGAATTGTCCAACCCTCTGCAATGCAGGAATCTCAGCTAAAGCTTAAAAACCTCCAAGGAAGGAAAGTTCACAACCTCCCAAGGAAGGTTTCACTCTGTTTTGTGTTGGTGGTGGGTGTCTCTGAGCCCAGGCATGGTGGGGGCAAGTTCTATTCGCCTGCACTTCACACATTAGGCAACCAGCCAGCCAGGAAAGGTCATGTGGCAATTGACAGGACCCCTCTGTGACTGACTAACGGGTTCTTCCATCTTCTCTCTCCCCCCCCCCAGTTTCTGGAAGCGGCTGGGCCACCTGATGAGCAAGCTGAACCCGGAGCCAAATGTCATTCACATAATGGGGTGCTACGTGCTCGGGAACCACAATGGAGAGAAGGTGAGGCCTGCTGCCTTGTTCCCCAGAGAGGCTCCAGGTGGCTCCAGCACAGTGTTGGGGAACCTGTTTCAACCTCTGAGGGCTGAGAAACCCACTGGCCAGTGGTGGGTGGAACCAAAGGAAAAAATTGGGTGGGGCAATAGATGTGATTTGTACCTCTGCACAGTAAGCCACATCCCAGCTATGCAAATCAGTTACTACATGTGCACACACATGCATACCCCCTATTCCATCCTCCCTTCAAAGCAAGCAAGAAGCATGACGATAAGTTTACAACAGTTTACATCCCAGATAGGCAAAAGTTTCCATGGAGCATGCAGGCCAGGCCTGGTGGGGAGTGGGCATGTCCAGGGAGAGTTCCAAGAGCCAGATAGAGAGCTCTAGAGGGCTTCTGTAGCAGTTCTGGTCCAGCTCTGTCCTCTGCGCTGTTCTTTTCTGGAAATAACTTCTCAAAGTCTTCCTGTCTGATATCACAGTAGTGAAACATACTGGGTAGTGGGGAAGAGCCATGGCTCAATGGCAGAGCATCTGCTTTGCGTGCAGAAGGTCCTAGGTTCAATCTCCAATGGCATCTTTTGGTAGTGCTAGGAAACGCCTTAAACCCTGCTGACAGTCAGTATAGACCTAGATGGGCTGGTGGCCTGGCTTAGTATAAGGCAGATTCCTGTGCTCCACCAGCCGTGGGCCCTGGCAAGAAGCTGTGCAATTGGCAGCTGCCCAAGGCTGCCAACTGCAAACAGTGACCCTGGCCAGAAATCAGTCATTGGGAAGCTCCTTTGCCTTTCAGCTGTTCCAAAATCTGAAGAATCTGATGAACCCCTGTCGGGTTACTTTTGAATCTCCTCTCGAACTCTCTGCTCAAGGTAGGTTGCTCTGTTGCTTGGTGTGGAGGCTGATTCCAGAGTCCTCTGGGAAGGGGGGCTTATTGTTGAACTTTTCTGGGAATTGTAGCTCATTGAAGACAAATGGGGAATCTCCCTAACAGTTCTCAGCACCTTTAACAAACTACAGTTCCCAGGATCCTTTGGGGGGAAACCATAACTGTTTAAAGTGGCATAGCAGAGCTACAAATGTTTAGTTTGCAGATAGGGCCATGAAATGTGGACTCCAAGGGGTTACACCAACATAGTTTCCTTAGACGTTGACTGAACCTTGCTACGTGGTGTTGACTCGGCCTTCTCTGTGTTGTGTTTCCAGGGAAGCAAATGATCGAGACTTACTTCGATTTCCGCCTTTACCGCCTCTGGAAGACCCGCCAGCACTCCAAGCTTTTGGATTACGATGACATCTTGTGAGCCAAGCGAGCGGTGGCTGAGAGTGGGTTGGTTTTATTGGAGTCCCAAGTGTCGTGCAGAGGGAAAGAGAGAGACCTTTTCGCAGGCACAGGGGAGGCCTTAGGCGCCCCGTCTGGGGTGGTAGTTTGTGCTGCAGAGCAAAACAGGAGTGTTGTCGGAACGTCGGGAGACTTGGAGCGTGCAGCCTGCTTACCTGGAGTGCAGTGTCTGATGGAGGGAGCGCTGTTGGAACAGGACAGGATAGGAATATCCTCGTGGAACTGAGCTGATTTTTTGATCACAAAAGGCCAAACTCCATTGCAGGTCCTTTTTAAACAGACATTCCAAGCTCAGGTTTTCTTAACTACAAAAACTCAACTGATCATCTTTTATTCCCCCGCCCCCTTCTTCTCGTGCTACCAGAATGGGGGAAGCATCGCCTGTGTGCAATGCCCTGTGGTTTCATGTGCGGATGTTGCCTCTTCTTTCACAGGCAAAGGAACACCATGCTCAACCCTGCGTGCTTTTGAGATGTGAGGTCTGAAATGGTCCGAAATGGATTAAAGGAAGTTCAGGCTTTAAAATCTTGTCCATTTTAATAGGATATATATACATATATATGTATATGTGTTTGTGCGTGTATGCATACACACACACGCACACACACACTTTTTTATATGAATAGAGGGAATATTTAATTAGCTAATGCTGTAAACACACATCAGTAACTAATAGATGAGATATTTTTGGTCTGCTTGAAAATATATTTGAAATAGGAATATATCTTCTGTAGACATATATATATATATATGTAATCACCAGCAGGGTGGTTTTCTCACACGCTTTTTTCCTGCAGACCTGCATGTCTGCTGTTACTTGGTTTCCAGGTTAGCTGTGGAGGGACACTTTTCAACTGTGGGCTCTCTTAAGAGGGTCAAGGTGTCCTTTCAAGCAAATTTCTGATTTGCAGCTTGGCGAAATGTTCTTTTGCCAGCAGTTTTTTTCCCTTTAGATATACAACAACATGGCCAAGAAGGATCTTGGTCTGTTTCCGAAAGTAGATATATTGCAAACTAGAAATGAATAGCCATCTTTCGAAAGACTCTCTCTTGCTGCACTTAACCTAGTTGTTTGGGTTTTTTCTCTCTCTGAAAGATGGCTGCTGTATAAGGAATCGGGGAAATGTCTGCTGGAACAGCTTAGTTACAGAGGGAATGTCATCTGCTTGTGTATGGTTCAGAATTTCAACATAGGGATATGGTGTCCCTTTCTCCCCCCCACCCCCTTCTTTTGCACAGAGAAGGGAATTTGCTGGTAGCAAACTGGCTCTTACCACATACTGGGCTTGTCTATTATCTGTGATTGATCGTAGTTTGGATGATCCAGACCTGTGCTTATTTACCTTTTGGAAGAAGTGCTGTGACATAGCCACGTTTTAGGTTTTCTTGTGGTCCTCCTACCTATTCAGGTGATATGAATACCTGAGGAACCTGCACTTTGTGACAAAGGTGTAGTCTCCCTGGTTATTTTGGGTGGAATTTCCTGGTCTTTCTTCTTTCCATGAAGCGAAGTACTTTGGAAGCACTCAGTTGGCCTCCCCTATTTTTCTTAGTTTCTAAGAAGATTGTGAAGTGAAAACAAGTATATATGCACTTTCTTGTGGTAAAACGAAAACCCCACTTTAACAAGTCCACCACCCCATGTTCTCCATTGTTGTGATGGTCTCCATGCACCCTTGATATCTGTACCATTGCCAGGGCAGATGACGGAACCGCAACCCTCACTGTCTGCCCATATTAATGCTACAAAAGCTGTTCTGAGAAGCGGCGTTAACGAGAGCATCCCAGGTAGCAAGAGAGTGCTGCTGTAAAATCCACACTGTTCAAATGGCAATGGGTGTTTTAGATTTTGGAATTTTCCTGTTTCAATCATAAAGAAATTTTTTAATATGTTTCTTTAAAAAAAACAAACCTGAAGGGTTTTTCTTGTTTTTGTAAATCTGTACAGCAACTGTATTCTACAACCTGTCATTTTATCTGTCAGTGGCAATCCTTCGTTGAGAACCGCACACAGGAGAACATAAATTTCAATATTGCGCTGGGGGGAAAGATCCAAGTGGGGGAATTTGTGGATGTGTGTGCCTGCGCACCCCTCCTAAAAACAAATCATCAAAAGATCTGAAGCTAAAGTGGAAAAGTAGTTGGAAATAACTATTCAAGAACAAAAGTTAGACAGTTTAGGAAAAACATTAACTCAAGACTGTTTAACCCACACAGTTGGCTCATAGCTGTTTGTTATGCAAAGCAGGGGACAAGGCTTTGATTCTATTTTTTGCTTTTCACAGACACTGTCGAGCAAATACTTAATTAAGCAAAGGACTATTTTTTCTTTAAAAGGGGTGAGGGGGTGGGGAGTGGGAATGTTTTACCATCTTAGCTGTGCCACTAGGGGGCAACCAAACACTTCTTCCCTAGCACAAAGCCTCTGCGTGGAGGTGAGGGTAGTGGCAGCAGTTTGGTGGGATGGGGACCGCTTCATACATGATGCTCTTCACACACAGGAAATCTCAGCATGAGAGAAAGCTGAGTGCAGAACCTGCGTTGTGCTGTATGTCGCAGATCAGGCAGCCAGCATGGCATCTTCCTGGTCCATAAAAAAATTTTGGCACAAGGAAATCACACTTAAAGAACTGTATCACAGGGGAACAGAATAAAGGTCTGTCAGATCCAGCAGTCAATCTCCCAGCAACCACCCCTTGAATGACCCTGCAGAGAAGCTCGTAAGCAGGGTGTACAATGGAGGAGGCAGCCACTGCAACTTCACCTCTAGTATCCAAATATCTATGGTAGACTGCTTGCAAACATGGAGGCTCTCTTTTTAGTCCTCGTGGCTGATAACCACTGATAGACTTGGCCTCCATAAATCTGTCTAGGTCAGGATGGTCCAAGTAGGCTGCAAGGGCACTTTGACACAGAACTCACAGGCCACACACTGCCCTTGCCATACAGAGTGGTGAGGAGGCCAAAATTTGACACACACACACACACCCTTAGCATTTGCACTGCCTTCCCAAAGATGGCTAACTGGGGGTCCTAGAGCTGGGAAAGCACTTACTAGGCTTTGGGAAGGAGGCAGGAGAACTCTAGTACCCTGTCAGAGTAGTCATTCTTCCTACCCAAAGCCGGGTGGGCTTTGGGAAGGCAGCAGAGTACTGGCGGGGGGGGGGGAGCATCGAATGTTGCCATAGGCCACCCAGAAAGGCAGACCGCACATTGGACCATCCTGGTCCAGCAGTGGAGCAAGCTGATCAGGTGCCTGGGGCGGTGCCCCAGGGGCAGGGCGAGCTGGGGCCAGGACGTTCCATGGGGCCTCAGAGAAGTCTGCCTGCCTTCTCCCACTCAGCTGCCCTACAGCTGGGGGGAGGCAGCGGGCGGACCGTTTGGGGCAGAGCGGACCGTTTGGGGCAGAGTGGAGCTCAAGCCACTGCGTCACTCCCAGGAGAGATGCGTGGCTTGGGCGTGCTGCAGGCCCACTGTGAGTGCTGCCCAGCATTTTGTCACCCCCCTCTGGTGACACCCGGGGCAGCCTGCCCCCACTGCAGCCCTGTTCCTTTGCCCCTGCCCTGGTCTAGTTCCTTTAAAAAAAAATTTAAGCCCTGCCTTCTAGCTGTTTCCAGCTTCATGTGACAGTTGTATGTTCTGATTTCCCAGATCTTAATGTAGGGGAGAGTTGTGAGCGTGTAACAGTCCTTAGAGATGCCTGCTTTCTCTCTCTCTCTCTCTCTCTCTCTCTCTCTCTCTCTCTCTCTCTGTGTGTGTGTGTTGTAGAGTTGTGCCATTGGAAGGGTCTCGTCAGAGCCAATGCTTTTCTTTGAGAACCACCCAGGAGAGGGATGCATTGATATCCCTCCCTGAGTACCTTGTTCTATCCATGAACCTCTACTCTTATTTGCGGTAAGAAAGTGTTTCCTTATGTTGTAACCAGATCTACCTCCCTGTAGTTCAAAGCCATCGGCTCGTCATTTTCTTGGAGGATGTGGTGAACAGACACTCGTCCTCATTTCTGCCAGTCTCTTACATAGCCCTACTTTTACCACTTTGTCCCTTCAAACGTACTGGCACTTCAAGCTTTCCTTGATCCAGTTTGCCTTCTACAAAAGATCCCTTTGCAATCTATCGGTCAGCATATCCTTCCTGAAGTCTATGAATTTGGGGCCAAATTTAGTATTCCTCACCCCAAAAATTCTTCCCACTGGCACTCTTTTTTTAGCCCTCCTTTTGGCCACTGCACACTAGAAGCGTTTTGTTAAAAAGGATGGGAGCAGGGTTCTAGCCCTCGAGGATGGGATGATAAGGCTGCAACTTCTCAGGCAGTGCTCAGTGATTAGAACTGGAGGTAGAGGTGGCTTTTCAGGCCATGTGGCCTCCTTGCATAGCTTTTGTTCCCCTTTGTGTGCAGTGAAAACAGGATGCTGTAAAATACAAACACTGAGAAACAGTACATCATCCACGTGGTTTGCAAAATTCAGCTTTCCTTGAGCAGAATACAATGTCACCTCTTTGCAGAACTGATTTTTATTTAATAAATGTAAAGTTCAAAAACAAGTCTATTGACTGATGGTGTGAGAAACCACAACAGCACCATTTCAACACTCCTGTGTTTAGAGGACAATTTGCCATGAACCCTGAATTGAAAATAGTAAGCGGCCTTATGCTGTGTCAGACCATAGATCCATCCAGCTCAGTATTGTCTATGCCAGTCTTTCTCAACCTTGGGTCCCCAGATGCTGTTGGACTACAACTTCCATCATCACTGGCCCTGTTAACTAGGGATGATGGGAGTTGTAGTCCAACAACTTCTGAGGACCTCAGGTTGAGAAAAGCTATACTGACTGGCAGTGGCTCTCTAGGGTTTCAGACAGAGTCTTTCCCAGCCCTGTCTTGGAGATGCTGGGGATTGAATTTGGAACCTTTTGCATGCAAGGCAGATGTTCTATGACTGAGCTACCACCCTTTCCCAAAAGCATGGCCTGCCCATGCATCTTTTTCAGATGCACCACTGCCTGATCTATGATCCCTTTCAGTACTTGTTACTCATTTAAATATAATCTTTACAGAACGTAAAATGCCTGCAAATCTTCAATCATTGATGCAAAGAACTAATTCTTTTTGCTTCAGAATAAATACTTAGAGCCCCACACTATGCATTTGAATATTTAATGAAAGACATTCCCTTTAGTGAAAAGAGAAGCAAGGCAAATCAGAAGGTCTCTGAGAAGTCAGGTCTTTATCTGCCTCCTTCCACTCTGCACTATAAAGTGGCATTGGTGGACTTCCTTGTGCAGGGAATGCTATGGAACTATGGGAACTCATATAAGGAGACGCTGTTACTAGGTAGGGTACTTTCCCATTTTAAAAGTCATGCTTTCTCTTGTGATGCAGTTTCAGCAGCACCACCCCGCATGACATGAATCTGGTACAACCACCATAATTCTTGTGGGTTTTTAGTACCAGCAGTGGTCAGTTTGGAGCACCATGTGGACATAGGGCTGATGGGGATACCTCCTGTCATCTTCTGGGAGGACTTTGGTAAATCTACAGTAGCCCCATTCACTGCAGTGCTCCTGGGCTTTCTCTGAAATTCCCTCTTAGCAAGGCAGAAGAAAAAATTATCTTGCACAACTGCCTCTTAATGCAAACCAAGCAAAATCAGAATGTTCTGGGAAAGAGATTGGTGTCCAACCATTGCTTCCCACTTCTTTGCTCCTGCAAAATATATACATGCCTTTGTGACATAAGTAACACCCCAGCTTAAGTCAGACCACTGGTCTGCCTAATTCTGAATGCCCTCAGTTTCCCAAGTTTCTCAAGCAGAGAAGTCTTTCCTAGTTCTACTTCTGAAAATGCCAGGAACTGAATTTGGGATCTTCGGCATGGGAAGATGTTTTCCTCACTGAGCTATAACAAATTACCATTCAATACAGTCAACTGCATTCTTCCCAATGCCCCATTGTGTTTCTGCGCTTCAGTTCTGGAAGTCCCCAAGCAGAAGGTGGCCTCAATGTGGACACAATTCTGTTTGGGCACCATGTACCTCAGTTTTTGAGCTTCTGGCATGGAAAAATTGTGTACGGCAAGGAGTGCAGTGCATTCTAAAGCCATGAACCTCTGAATTTTGTCCCAAACCTAATCCTTTTTAAAAAAAAATAATCAAATGAAATAACTGATTAGCTGACATGGTGGCATTTTATCCTCACTTCATTGCTCATTACAATTGGCAATTTGTACTGTTCACTGAAGACCAGGACTGTACTGGGGTTGCATTAGAACTTACCTATTCCAGTATACAGCAATAACACATCAGGTGGGTCTCCTGTGACAATAACCCCATTCTTTCTGGCCCTTGGTGTTCTCCAAGGAAGTCCATTTTGTGAGGCCCATGCCATGTCTTACCATCTTGATCTCCAGGATCATTCTCTCTGTTGAGCATAAATAGCATCCTGGCTCCGATGTAGCTATGAGCCTCAAGCTTTGGACAGGGGAAATATCATATTTGGCCAGATTCCTAGACTTTTGGATGGGCATGTGCCAAATTCTGTGGTTGCTGTTAGCTTGTTTTGCAGCCTTGCCATTTCTTTGGTGCAAAAAGGGATGATTGGGTTGGTCTGAGCATCTATAGTGCTCTCCACAGTGGGTTGTAGAGTGACACTGAGGCCTGGGATAGAAAAAAGATGCTATATGTCAAGGGCATTTCACCAATATGACAGTTAGCTAAATGTCTTCACAATGTCCCAATTTGGAGGGTAACTAGAAAGTTGGATTGATGCAAACTAGTGGCACTGATAGACATGGTCTTATCACGAAGGACGCTGTGTTGGTGAATAGATTCAGTTTTTGTTTTTCACAAACAAGTGGATAGTATTACCTGTCCTGCATAATCTGAAGGAGATATTTGTTTACTGGGGGA